ACCACCCCTCCATCCTCTTCCCACAGATCCTCAGCCACAGAAAGCCACCCTCAAGTCTGGGGGTGACCCCAGCTCCTGTGCCCACTTCTCTGGGTCTGCCCCCTGGCCCCTCCAGCTACCTGCTTCCTGGCAGCCTCCCCCTGGGGGGCTGCGGGTCGACCCCTCCCACCCCCACCGGGCTGGCTGCCACTTCTGACAAGAGAGAGGGCAGCAGCAGCTCCGAGGGACGTGGGGACACAGATAAGGTGAGCTGGCCTAGGGAGAGGTGGGTTGGTGGTGACAGTTCTGTAGAAAATATAGACAGGAACTGAGATTCGGGGGCTCAAGGAGAAAGGGAGACTGAGGCAGGCACACAGGGCCTTAGAGGCCAAAGTCATGAAACTGTAAGGAACTGAACTTCCACTGGAATGGAGGAGCAGGAAACGCGTTGGGTGGGGCCGAAGGAAAATTGTGTCTGTGTATGTGGGGGTGTGTGCGTATACCCCACATAGACACACACTGCACTGCAGTCCACCCCTTGATTACCTGTTGCTCATGCTCTCTCCCTCTCTGTGTCAGTGGGGGAGGGTGGTTTTTGAATGAAAAGTCAAGACCCTGTCTTTAGATGAGGGGAGGGAGAGTGGATGCCAGGTACATAGTAACACGGGTTCTTTTTCAGCGGCTCTGGCTGGCTCCTGTCCTGGGCTCTGGGCCTGTTTCTCTCTTGATCAGGTCTGGATAAGGGTTTTTGTGTGTGGTTTCCTTTTTTTTTTTTGGTTGGTTTTTGAGACAGGGTCTCCCTCTGTCACCCAGGCTGGCATGCAGTGGCACAGTCACAGCTCACTGTAGCCTCAACCTTGACCTCTTGGGCTCAAGGGATCCTCCTACCTCACCCTCCTGTGTAGCTAGACAGATACGTGCCATGGTGACTAGCTAATTTCTTTTTTCTTTTTTTTTTACTTTTTATACCACTTCCATTTGATGGTGGAGCTAATTTCTTAATTATTTGTAGAGTCGGGGTCTCACTACGTTGCCCAGGCTGATCTGAAACTCCTGGGCTCAAGTGATTTTCCCACCTCAGCCTTCCAAAGTGCTGGGATTCCAGACATGAGCCACTGTGCCCAGCCTGGATGTTTTTTCTCATAGTCCAGCAGCCCATAGCCAGGCGGTGGTGTGGCTCACCTTCACGCAGTTGTTCACGGTGCCCGATAAAGCTGGATAAACCCCATGAAACATCCCCGTGTGAGCCGCAGAGGTGGGGCTGCGGCTTAGCCCGTCACGTGTCCATGGCTCCTGCCCTGTGCTGCAGGGCTGACACGGTGAGGACCTTCTCGTCTGCAGTGGCCCTTACTCTGCCCTGGTCTGTGCTCTGCCCTTTGCCCCTTTTTGCCACATCTGAGATGGGTGCTGGGGAGCAGCGTCTCTCTAGAGACCCTCCCCCTGTGGCAGCAGGCAAGCCTGAGGAGTCCCTCCAGGTGGTGTGTGTCTCTCCTGGCCACAGAGTTGCCCTCACAGTTCAGCGCGTCAGACAGTGTCCCTGGACTCTGTTAGCCATTGTGCCCTGCCCTTCCCAGGACTCAGTTTACTTGCCCCCACTTGGCTTGGCCCTGGGTTATGGGGAATAGTCACCTGGCTTGGGAGGGCAGCCTCCCCAAGGGTGGTGCCAAGGGACTGTCCCTTGTGCCTGCAGAGGGCTTCTTCTTCTCTGGTCCTATGTGGCTCTCCGGCTAGAGGTTTCCTGTCTGCTCTGACAAAGATTCTGCCTGAGGCCAGGGATGCAGCTGCTACCCGAGCTGCGGCTGCTGGATCTCCTAGCTTGCTGGCCACGGGCGGGAAGAGCCTTGCCTCAGAGGCTCTCTGCCCTGCCCCCCGTCCTGTCCTCTCCTTTTCATCTGCACGGCCATTCCTCTGGGAAGAGGCACAGCTCCCCTGGATTGAGTCCTTGATCTGTGCCTGGCCTGTGCCATGTCCTCCATGTGTGTCAGTATAGTCCTCCCCATAGGTGCTGTCCCTGTTTTACAAATGAGCCACAAAGGTGGCCAGGTGCAGTGGCTCATGCCTGTAATTCCAAAAGTTTGCAAGGCCGAGGCGGGTGGATCGCTTGAGCCCAGGAGTTCAAGATCAGCTTGGGCAACATAGTGAGGCCCAGTTGCCACAAAAAGTCCAAGAATTAGCCGTGTGTGGTGGTGGCACCTCTAGTCCCAGCTACTCAGGAGGCTGAGGTGGGAGGATCACTTGAGCCCAGGAGTGCAGGGCTGCAGTGAGCAGTGATTGTGCCACTGCGCTCCAGCCTGTGTGTCAGGGAAAGACCCTGTCTCAAAACAAAGAAACAAAAATGAGCCACAAAAAGGAGATTTGGCTGATCATCCCAGGGCTTGGAGCCAGGGGTGGCAGACCAGGCTTCCAACGCAAATGGGTCCGAGGACAATCCTCACCCTCACTCCCCAGTGCCCCTCAGCCGTAGCCATTTCCTCCATTGCCTTGGTGACCAGAGCAGTATTATAAAAACATAAACTGGAGGCTGGGCGTGGTGGCTTGCTCCCGTAATCCTAGCGCTCTGGGAGGCCCAGTTTGAGGTCAGGAGTTCGAGACCTGCCAGACCAACATGGTGAAACCCTATCTCTACTAAAGATACAAAAATTAGCTGGGTGTGGTGGCGTGCACCTATAATCCCAGCTACTCAGGAGTCTGAGGCAGGAGAATCACGTGAACCCAGGAGGCGGAGGTTGCAGTGAGCCAAGATTGCACCACCCCATTGCAGCCTGGGCAATGGAGCAAGACTCCATCTCAAAAAAACAAAAAACAAAACCTAAACTGCGTCCTCCCGTCCTGCGGTGAAAAGCCCTGTGCAGTTTTCCTGCTGTCCTCAGAAACGGCCCTGCCTGTAGTCTGATTCAAAATCAGCTGTAATTGCTCAGCCAGTGCCTGCCTTGTCACACCGAACTTTGTGAGGGCAGGTGACACATGTCATGGCCAGGCCTGGGGCAGGCAGTGTTCGGCCTAGAGATGTCCAGTGACATTCAGAGGCCCAGGGCTGGCCTTTGGTCCCAGGTCCCTGCAGCAGAGGGCGCATGGGACAGACCCTCAGCAGGACTTCTAGCCCAAGCACAGCAGGACGGCCAGAGGGCCAAGCTGGCTGCAGAGGCCAGCGGAGGCGGAAGTTCCGGTACTCACTGGCCCTTGCTGACCCTTCCTCCCTGCCGTCGCCACCCCCCCAGTATCTGAAGAAGCTGCACACGCAGGAGCGGGCGGTGGAGGAGGTGAAGCTGGCCATCAAGCCGTACTACCAGAAGAAGGACATCACCAAGGAGGAGTACAAGGACATCCTGAGGAAGGCCGTCCACAAGGTGGGCACATGGAGAGAGAGGCAGACACAGGATGGGGGGAGGGCGAGCTGGAGGACAGATGTGTGCGGATGGGAGATGGGGAGGACGTCAGTCTGGGAGGTGAGGGGGTGACGAGATTTTCTCAAGGCCACCTGGGCCTGTTCCGCTGGCCCTGGGGGACCCATTGTCAAGGGGGACAGAGGGACCTTAGCCTATCATTGGGGAAGCACTCCTGTCCCAAGCTGCGCCCAGCGGCCCTGGTGGATGGGGCCCCAGGAGCCTAGTGGTGACTCCGGCTGTCCCCGGCCCCCCAGATCTGCCACAGCAAAAGCGGGGAGATCAACCCGGTGAAGGTGAGCAACCTGGTGCGGGCCTACGTCCAGCGCTACCGCTACTTTCGCAAGCACGGTCGCAAGCCAGGGGACCCCCCGGGGCCCCCACGGCCGCCCAAGGAGCCAGGGCCCCCGGACAAGGGTGGCCCAGGCCTGCCCCTGCCCCCTCTCTGAGAGCCCTGGCCAGCTCTTCGCCCCTCGTCTCTTTGAAATTCTGGACATATTTATGGCTCCACCTCCCCACTTCCCTCCCCCGTCAGTGGGATGATTGGGGGAGGGTTGCTGCAGGGAAGAGGAGAGCCCCCTGCCCTGCCCTGCCCCATGCCCACATCCCTTGTCCCAAAGCCTGTCCCCAGTGCCCCTCCCTTCTGTTTGTGCCCCTCTCCCCAATTTCATTAAAGATTTCATGAAACATCACCCCCGAGCACCATGGTTCTAACCCTTAGTTTTCAGGGACAAATTTGCCAGAGGGTTGGGGCAGGACCCCCAGGAGGCTAAGAGTGGGAGACAGAGACAGGACCCCCAGGAGGCTAAGGATGGGAGACAGAGAGACCAGACTGACTTGGGGCAGCTGCCTCCCCTGGGCCTCACTTTCCTTATCTGTACAGTGGGTGTTGTGAGGATTGAACAAGACACAGGTGGAGCACTTAGCAGAATCTCTGGCAGGGAGCCAGCGGCTCACAGTAGCGGGGCTGGGACCACACCTGACCAGCATCCTCCCAGCTCAGGGCCCCTGGGTGCCATGTGCCTGCTTTGGAATTGCTCCCATAAGCAGGATCTGTGTTCCCCATCGAGTGGGCTTCTCTCTTCAGCAGCCCTGTGAAGCTGGAGTGATCTCAGCCACTCTCTCGAGAGGGAAACTGAGGCACAGAGCAGTAGGGCTACGCTGGCTTCTGCCACTTTCATCACCCAGAACTGAGGCCCAGCCAGGAGAGACAACAGTGCCCAGGGTCAGAGGGCAGGCAGGCTTTGCACAAGGCCCCAGGGTGGCAGCAGAGCCTCTCTACCACTGCTCCCTCCAGCCCCACACAGAGGGGGCGTGAGGCCTCGAAGGAGAAGAGCTGTTTGCCCAAACTCTTCAGAGGCAGGGCAGGGGCCTCGGTTCTGGCCGGTCTTTGTGTTTCCTCACCTTTGTGCCTCTTGAAGCCTGTGTCTTGGTCTATAGTAAAATGGGGGCAGCCATCACCCAGCAGGTCCCTGGGAAGAGGTGAGGAGGGTCAGCTGCCCCCTGCAGTGCTTGGTCCTCATGCATTGAGCACCGGAGTTGTGCACAGCTGCACAGATGGGTAAATTGAGACCCTGACCAGGAATAACAAGCAGCTTGGGTCAGAGGGCACCCAACACCAGACGCACAAGCGGTGACTACAGCAGGAACCAGTTTATTGGTTGAGGTGGTGGGCGAGGTAGGGGGGCTAGAGGCCACACTATGAGGAGTGAGGGCTCAGGCCTCTCCAGGGCCCTGGAAATCCATGTCCTCCACCAAGTCCTTCAGGTAGGCCTTGTACTGGTCAGAGGTGAGGGAGAGTGGGTGGCTGTTGGAAATGTGCAGTTCCACGGTGTTCTCCAGGGAGGAGGCACCCCCTGCCCGGGCCAGCTCTACCAACGCCCTGAGGCATGTGGGCACAACCTGCAGGGGAAGTGGGGACAGGAGTCAGGGAAAACAGCCAGTGTCCACCAAGGTAGGAGTTGGGGCTGGGAGAACTACAGCTCCCCGCAGCCCCTGCTGTAAGCCAGGATGAACCATAGGCCCAGGGCTGCTGGGAGTTGTAGTTTCCCCTCTTTACACACAGACACGTGCGTGCGCCAGGCCAGAGTGCTCCCAGGAGTCAGGGCTGAGCAGTCTATGATCTTGACTCCTGGGAGCTACAGCCATGGCCTCACAATGGCAGCTAGGACTTGGTGTCCACCAGCTTCTACATGGTTTAGAGCAGGGGTCCCCAACCCCACCGCCTGCTAGGAACCAGGTCACAGCAGGGCATGAGCAGCAGATGAGGGAACATTACTGCCTGAGCTCGGTCTTCTGTCAGATCGGTGGCATTAGATTCTCACAGGAGCACGAACTCTATTGTGAACTGTGCACGAGAGGGAGCTAGGTTGCTCCTTATGAGAATCTAATGCCTGATGATCTGCAGTGGGGCAGTTTCTTCCTGAAACCACCTCCCTCCCTTTCTGTGGAAAAATTATCTTCCATGAGACTGATCCCTGGTGCCAAAATGCTTGGGGACTGCTGGTTTAGAAAGCTCAAAACAGGCTCTGCTGGTGGGGCCATGGGAAGGAGCTCTTGGGGATGAAAAGCTGGTTATTGCAGAGATCTTGGAAGCTGCAGCTTTTTGGAGGGTCTTCTGGGAGCTGCAGTTCCTGGGAGCAGCCTCTTCCCTCTGTAAGGCCACCCCTCTCAGCCCCAAGGACTCAGGGCTGCAGGCACCTTAACCATCACGAGCCTCTTGGTCCACGGCTGGTCCTGGGGCCATGGCTCCCCGACACAGAACCAGAGGGTATAGCGTGGTGAGCGTCCGCTTCCTTCCGTGAAGGTAATCAGATCTGGGGGCCCAGAAGCCTAGTCAGGGATGAGAAGAGGACCCTCTACCCCCGCTTCCCCATAAACTTGAAAATAGCCCCCCTCATCTCCCCCGACCTGAGGCCCTCTGCCACCTCCACCAGGGAATGCTTGTTTGGGGAAAGTCCCCATGATTCTGTTTCTGTACTTCCTCCCTCCCTCCCGTCAGGGTGGGGTTGTTGGAAGGTTGAACCCCCCCCAGCCCCCAGGCCTCAGCATTCATGACAGGCCCAGAGTAGGGGCCCATTCCCCCAAGGATGCTCAGTGAATCTGGAGAAGCTGGTTGGCATTCAGTCTCCTCTAAGGCTGCACTAATTGCAGCCATCAGCCACGTGAGGTTACTTAAGTTTAAACTGTAATTAAAGCGAACCCCGTCCTGGCTGCACTGGCCTCACCTGAGTGCTCAGACCCTGTGGCTAGTGGCTGCTGCACCAGGCAGTGTAGGTGGCCGTTCCCTTCATCACGGAAAGCTCCGCGGCACAGCCACTCCCTAAGGCATGCAGCTTTCCTGCTATTTGCTCTATCCACCATCATTAGCTACGATGATGGTGACAGTGGTAGCTAATTCCTGAGCACGCTCTACGTACTGGGCCTGTGTCTCACCCCAGCGCTGGCAGGCAAGTAGAGAGAAGAGACCGTTCTCAGATTCCATGGGCTCAGGGCAAAGTCCTTTGCCTCGGGTTATACAGCCGGCGGAGCACAGTCAGGGTCTGAATTCAGTCCTAATCCTGAGATCTTAACCACTACGCAGGCTGCTTCCTCCTGGGCAGGGCAAAGCCCCCATCTCACTTACCTACAATGAAGGGTCCCAGGTCGAGCACGCCTCCTTCCTTGTCCTTAGGGACCTCGCCATCAGGCCCATTCCCACTGTTGGGGAGCAACTCCTCGCTCACTGCCCAGTATGTGTGGCACTGCCCCAACCGCTGGGCCCAGAGCTGCTGTCCGGCCCGCCACAGAGCCAGTCCCCCGCCCAGGCGGCTCAGCACATGCCTCACATAGCTCATCACTCCCTTGTCTGTCAGGGACGCGCCAGGGTCTGGTAGTGTGATGGGCCATCCAGGCAGTGTCCTGTCTGCCACTTCAGACCCCACCAGCCGTAGGCCCCCTGGGCAGGAGATGGTCTGCTGGAAGACTTGGCGGCCCCGGTAGAAGGCTGTCACCTCGAACTCCCACTCTGAGCAGCGGCAGCAGTGGCGTGAAGGGGAGAAGGATTGAGAGAGTCAGGGACTGCTACCCAGACCTCAGCCCCTCCGAGCCGGTAGCTGACACTCACCTTCCCCCGGCACCAGCAGCCGCCTCAGTGGGTTCTCAGAGGGCTCCAGGTTTGGGAAGGACGTGGGATTGTCCAAGCTGGGGTTCAGCAGGGGCTGAGGGTAGGGCTCAGGGGCTACAGCCAGGCCTGGTGGTCCCGAATCTGGGAGTGGGGCCAAGACCATGTTACCCAGTAACTCATCCAGAATGTCTTCCTGGAGGGAAACAAAAAGAGAATCCAGCATTTCCACAGCCTTTTCTGGAGACTTCATGTGGACCAGGTCTGTTCTCAGCAGTGCAGGGAGGTCAGGCTTGAACTCCGCCTTCAAAGGGCTTCCAGTCTGGGGACAGAGGCAGCCACAGCCATCAACAGCCAAACACTCTAATGAACACCACGTGCTACCATTACAACCCCAGGATCTGGCTCTCTGCAGGCAAGACCTGGGCAGAATTTCAGAGGGGATGCTCCCCTGGCTCTGACAGCAGAAGGATCAAGGGGAGGGAGGTTTTCAGTTCCCAAGAGGCTGACAGACAGCTCCCTGCCAATCAAGGAAATACCTGAAATCGCGGGAAGGCGTGTCAAATGCAAATCGAGCGCCTTCAATGCCAAGTGAAGACTGAATTTTCTCCTGAGGAGACTGGAGCATGGGACAGACAGGGCCAGCTCTGGCTCAGGTGAGGGGCAGACTGGGGGCAAGGGAGGGGCGCTGGTCCGGAGGGAGACGATGAGCCCATGGGAACAGGACAGACAATGAGGGGCGTGACGGTTGGGCACATTCTTACCTGGGTATCAGAAGTACTGCCTCCACCACTGGTGTCTGGAGAGGTGTCTGGCTGGGAAAAGTCCCCAACTCCTGTTGGGAAAGGTGGTGAGGTGGCTAGGGGTGCCAGGAACCCTTGGGACCCCAGCCTCCCACACTCGCCCCGATCTGGCAGACCTGAGTTCACAAACTCGTAGATCTTATGTGGGTCGTGAGGGTCCTTGCTCCGGTCATCTGCTAAACGCAATCCATCTTTGCGGTTGAGGGCAGAACGGAAATTCCTCTTCCAGGTTGGCGGGTCTGGCTTATCCCTCCCGGGAACGTATGCACCAGTAGCCTCGGCCCAGGCCTGGCCAACAGTGGTATCAGGATAGTGAGAGAGGATGACCTAGATCCTGTCCCGGAGCCCCAACCCTGTCTCCCGCATCCTAACACCACCCTCTTTCCCTGGCAAGTTCTAACTCTGCAAAGTCCATCCCCAAATCCCCCCATCCCACCTACCTCCATCCCCCACCTCTAGTTTTCAAAATGGAGCTTTGAAATTTTCATTCTTTTCGAGATGGAGTTTCAACTCTTGTCACCGAGGCTGGAATGCAATGGCGCAATCTTGGCTCACTGCAACTTCCACCTCCCGGGTTCAAGCGATTCTCCTGTCTCAGCCTCCAGAGTAGCCGGGATCACAGGCAGGCACCACCATGCCCGGCTAATGTTTGTATTTTTAGTAGAGACGGGGTTTCACCATGTTGGCCAGGCTGGTCTCAAACTCCTGGCCCCAGGTGATCTGCCCACCTCAGCCTCCCAAAGTGCTGGGATTACAGGCGTGAGCTACCGCACCCAGCCTCTTCAGAAGCCTTTGAAACCTCTTTTGTTTTTGTTTTTAGAGACGGGGCCTGTGTTGCCCAGGCTGGTCTCAAACTCCGGGGCTCAAGCGATCCTCTAGCCTCGGCCTTGCCAAAGTACTGGGATTCTATGTGTGAACCACCGCAGCCCCCAAAAAACTTTTCTTTCTAAGCCAGGCTTTCAAGTCCTGCTAACCCCGTGCACCACCTGCCCCAGGACACCCTTCGTGATAACGTCGTCCCTCACACTGTTTACCACCTCTGGCTTATACTAAATCGGTGGTTAGGAACCCCAGATTTGGGGCTCCAAGTCTCACCTCTGATGTTTCAAGAACAATCCCCCAGGATCCTAAACTAGGAACCCCGGCTCCTAGAGAGCCCCAAACTCACAGGATGCATTTCCTTTGGGTACTAACCCGGCTTTCCCTGTTCTAGTTCTATTCACTGAACGGGCAACTCCAACCCCGCCGGGGCCCCACCATCAGTCAGCTGATCCGGCTAGCCCCGCCCCTCCCGTTCTGGCCCCACCCACCAGCGTTGACACTAGCCTGCCCCTCGCGCGCTACCTCCGCCTTCTCAGCCCTGCCCCTCGGAGTCCTTCCCGCCCCGCGCGCAGCTCCCGGTTTCCAGCGTCCCTGGTCGCACGACGCACCTGGAAGATTCCGAAATCCTCCTGCTGTGCATCATGCCGTAGGCCGTGTTTCCAAGGGATGCGGAAGCGCGTGCGGCTCTCGTTCACCCAGGCCACACCCTCCAGCTGCCCCCGATTCAGCTGCAACTCCAGCCAGGGCAGGATCCGTGGCTTTGGGGTTCCCATGGTCCGGCCTGCGCGTACAGGGCATTTCCTGGGCGCGGCCGGCCTCTCCCGGACCCACCTGGCCTGGAGTTTCCGCACCCAGACCTCCCTGTCACGGGCTACGGCACAGGTCCTTCACCCATATTTTCGGGGATACAAGCAGGAAACCTCCTCTTCCCATCCACCCATCCGCCAGAGAGGCTCCCTAATCAGCTAGGGTTCCTTCCCCTATCCTTGGCACACCCTTCCCCAGCGACTTCAGTGCAGACCCTCCACTCCCTCAATTCTGCCAGTGTAGACCCCCCCTCTCCCCCACATCGAAAGCAAGTAGCCCCACTTTCAGGGTAGCATCTTTCCCTAGCTATGTCAGTGCAAAATCGATTCACTTGTAAGCCTCTACCGCCTGCACTTACCCCAGTGTAGACCCCCTTCCACAGTCCCCCTACAGAAGATCCCCTACCTACTTCCAACGCAGAACCTCGATCCACAATTCCCCCTCGACTGCCAGCCTCCCTCCTCCAGAGCACGCCTCAGCTTTCGAGAGCGAACTGCCCGCATCTGCGGAGTCCACCCCTCCCTCTCTAGATCCCCCTCAGTGTAGACGCCTCCTCTCTTTCTCTTCCCTCCCTACTTTTTCTAGTTTTTCTGCAACCGACCTCCAGCGCCGGCCACTGTAGCTCCCTCCTTTCTCCACTTTCCCCAGATTATACAGCCTGCCTTTCCACTCTCCGTGCAGACCCATCATCTTTCCCGCTCCTCGTTCTCGGACGCCACCAACGCTCTCCCGGGCTCTTCCGCGTTACCTACGATGGAAGGTCGGGGCGTGCGGGGAGCTGGAGCCCACCCCTGTCTTGGGGCTCCGGGTAGCTCTCAAACTCGAGGCTGAACACCCCCTTTCCCGTCAGCTGAGCTCTAGAGCGCTGGGGCTTTCTTTTCCAACGACTTCTTGAAATAAAAACAACTTTATCATTCTTTGAGTGACAGAACCCAGATCCCAAGGGACAGGCCGTAGGGCCCGGGCTGTCCCCGCCCCCATGCCCTTTTTCGGCTTTCCGGCCAGAGGCATGCTGGGAGCGTCAAATGCAAATTGAGCGTGCAGCCAGCGTTCCGCCCTTTCTACGTTGGGCCGGTTACCCACCCGGCCCAGTGCGCAGGCGCGGGAAAGTTGAACTAAGAAAGTTTGTACGAGTTGAGTGAAGAAGGCGACAAGTTGAGTGGAGGTGGCGGCGGTGGGGCCCCGAACCAGGTCAGCGGAGTGTTGCCGAGGGTCAGGGTGTGGAGGGAAGAAGAGGCGGCCGGGATCCATGAGTGAGGACCCAGTCCCGCTTCTCCGACATCCAAGTCTAGATTCCAGGAGTCGGAGATTTGGAAATACACCTCCCAGCAGGCTGCGCGGCCAAGAAGCGCGGACCGAGGAGAAGATTTGCCCTAAAGCCTGCTGGGATTGGTAGTTCCCGATGCTTTAAGGGTTTCAGTAGTTCGGCATATACCTCTTTCAGAATCCAGGAGTTGGGGCGCTAAGCCCCTACTCCCTGGGAGACATAAGGGTCTGGAGCTCCAGTTCCTTTCTCTCTGAGACTTAGGAATCTAGGACCCTAGCTCCATCCTCCTTTAGACCCACGCACGAATCTGGGCACCCACCCCCCACCTTTCCTTGGATTAAAGAGTCTGTCCTGTTCCCTCTTCTGTCTCAGGACTCAAGAGTCTAAGCCCCCAGACCCACACTCTCCAAAGGACCCAGGAGTCCAAGCCCTCAGCACCTTCCTTGGGACTCACAAGTCCTGGCCCCCAAGCCTCCACTTCTCGATAAATCCTTGGAGTCCAGTCCCTAGCCCCCTCTCTCATAGGTGCCTCCATGGCAGGCTCAGAAGAGCTGGGTCTCCGGGAAGACACGCTGAGGGTCCTAGCTGCCTTCCTTAGGCGTGGTGAGACTGCCGGGTCTCCTGTTGTAACTCCACCCAGGTAACAGGAGTTGCACTTCTCCCCCAGGGGCCAGGATTGGAGGCCCCCTCCTCGCTCTTGCTCCTGGTCTCAGTCTGTCTCCTCTCTTTATATCTGACTCTATTCTGTGTCTTTGGGGTTTTGGAGAGAGGTCCTCAGTGGGGGAGGGAGGGAGTTGAGGAAAGTGACTTACAGAGGATCTCTGCTGGGGTCACTCTCTGAAGTCCTCCTCCCCAGAAGCCCTGCCCCAGAAGAGCCAACAGACTTCCTGAGCCGCCTTCGAAGATGTCTTCCCTGCTCCCTGGGGCGAGGAGCAGCACCCCCTCAGTCCCCTCGGCCTTCCTCTCTGCCCATCCGCCCCTGCTATGGTTCAGAGCCTGGTAAGAGATTTCCATGATCATCTGTGAAACTGGCAGAACAAGGGATAAGGTACTAGTTTAAGATCACTTAACTATGGCCAGGAGCGGTGGCTCACACCTGTAATCCCAGCACTTTGGGAGGCCAAGGTGGGCGGATCACCTGCGGTCAGGAGTTCAAGACCAGCCTGGCCAACATGATGAAACCCCGTCTCTACTAAAAGTACAAAAATTAGCCCGGCGGTGGTGGCAGGTGCCTGTAATCCCAGCTACTCAGGAGTCTGAGGCAAGAGAATCGCTTGATCCCAGGAGGCGGAGGTTACAGTGAGCCAAGATCGTGCTGCTGCACTCCAGCTTGGGCAACAAGAGCAAGACTCTGTCTCAGAAAAAAAAAAAAAAAATAGAAGATCACTCAGCTAGTGGGTGGCCTTGTGGAGTCTCTGACACCAACCTTCAGGACAGAACCTGTCCTCTCCCCTCCCCAGTCAGATTTCTATCTGCCAGTTCTGTGGGCTGGTTTTCAGAGAGCATTTGGTCGATCTGGTTGTTGTCTCTTTTCTTCCATAACTACTATCCTGTCCCTAGGACTTTTGTAGCCAGGAATACCCCTGTTAGAGAGGCAGGAGACCTGGTTTTCCATCACATCACCTTGGCTGTTTTAGTTGCGTGACTCTGGGGGAAAATGCTTTCTGCCCCGCTCCCCTGTTTTTCCAGTAACAGTGTAGGAATTGGGGAGGAGATCATTGGACTTGATCAAGAGTGACCAACAAGTTCCTCGTAGGTGTGAACCTGGATGGACTAGTAATGGCTGCTGGGAGTGCTAGCTTGAAAAGGGGTTCAGAGCTAGGGAGAGGAAGTGCTGTGATCAATTGGTGATGTCTGAAGTGGGTGAGGGAAGGGGATACTAACAGTAGTGTCCTGTGTTTGCCCTCCTTGGATGAGATCATCTTCGGGGTCTAGTTCAGCTCTGACCATCTTTCGGAGACAGAAATCTTGCTCCGTCACCCAGGCTGGAGAGCAGTGGTACAATCTCGACTCACTGCAACCCCCACCTCCTGGGCTCCAGCGATTCTTGTGTCTCAGCCTCCCGAGCGCCTGGGATTACAGGTGCGCGCCAGCATACCGGCTGATTTTTGCATTTTTAGTAGACACAGGGTTTCGCATGTTGGCTAGGCTGGCCTCAAACTCCTGGCCTTAAGTGACCCTCCCATGTTGGCCTCCCAAAGTGCTGGGATTGCAGGCATGAGCCACTGCACCCGGCCAACTCTGGCATTCTAAGTCCAGTCTGAGGATGTGATAAAGTGAAAAGTTGAAGGGTTTTGACATTTTTTACCAAGTTTTCTCACTGGGCCTCAGTTTACCCCATTATAAAATGAGAATCATTGCCACCTGCCATAGTAGTCGGGGGAAGGAGAGAATCCATAAGTTTCCAATGTCCTGGAATCCTGTCATGAACTCTCTTTACCCAGGCCCAGCTACTCCAGACTTTTATGCCTTGGTGGCCCAGCGGCTAGAACAGCTGGTTGAAGAGCAACTGAAATCTCCATCTAGCCCAGGTGAGGCGCAGAGGGGCCCCAGAGAAGGATGAGGGTAGGAGGATAGTCAGGATTTGGCCCCCAGCCAAATTCTCTTCTGCCTGCAGAATTACAGGGTCCCCCACTCACAGAGAAGGAAGCCCTGCTGCGGAGGCTGGTGGCCCTGCTGGAGGAGGAGGCAGAAGTCATTAACCAAAAGGTGATGGGCGTCTGCCCCCCCCTTGGCAAGGACAGGAGTTGCGGAATGGTGGGGCACTGGCATCAGAAGCCGGATCTGTATTTTCTTTGGATGGTCAAGTGGAGAGAGGGTAGGACAAAGTTTAGTGAAGGGTTGAGGCCGCGAGAGGTGGCTCATGCCTGTAATCCCAGCACTTTGGGAGGCCAGGATGGAACAACTGAGGTCAGGAGTGTGAGACCAGCCTGGCCAACACGGTGAAACCCCGTCACTTCTAAAAATACAAAAATTAGCCGGGTGCAGTGGCTCACACCTGTAATCCCAGCTGGCTGAGGCGGGAGAGTCACTTGAGCCCAGGAGGCAGAGGTTGCAATGAGCCAAGATAGTGGCACTGCACTCAGCCTGGGCGACAGAGCAAGACTCTGTCTCAAAAAGAAGAAGAAAAAAAGAATGGTCGAATGACAGGAATATGGTTAGGATAGTGCTGTACTGTAAATTAGCGTTTTGATTGTTAGAGGGGCGCGGCCTAAATGCAGAGGGTGTGGCCATCAAAAACATGGTCTGGAAGAGATTGGCCAACTTGGGAAGGTAAGAGAATTAATGTGGGGATTGGGCGAGTGTCTAAAAATCTTACTGAGCATAGGATGTGGCCCGGCTTAGGAGGCGTGGTTTGTGGCTGTGTCTTGAAATCTATTGGCTCGGGAGCTTGGGCAGGGTACATGAACCTCTCATATTGATTGAATGGTAGAGGGCAAGGTTGTCACAGACACTAAATTGGCCCCTGGGTAAGGGCACTGGGGGCGTGACTGGATTAACTGGGTTACAGCAGAGATTGGCTCTGATTGGCTGTGGCGGCAAGGGAAGGGGCGTGGCTTAGTGACTCAGGTTCTCGGGCAGTATCCTGGGCATCCTTTGGCCGAGACCTTAGAGTCTGACCTGATTGGCTGATATGGATGAGGGATGGCCTAGAGTTTTAGCATCTAGAAGTGTCCTGAACCGGGCAGCCACGCCTCCCAGGCCCCTGTTGGCTGGTCCCTGAGGCACAGCTGACTCTGACCCTGCCTCTTCCACCCCACAGCTGGCCTCGGACCCCGCCCTGCGCAGCAAGCTGGTCCGTCTGTCCTCCGGCTCTTTCACTCGCCTGGTGGAGCTGTTCTGCAGCCGGGAGGACGGATCTCGCCCAAGCCCAGCATGCCCTGGGCCCCCGCCTCCTTCTCCGGAGCCCCTGGCCCGCCTGGCCCTGGCCATGGAGCTGAGCCGGCGCGTGGCCGGGCTGGGGGGCACCCTGGCTGGACTCAGCGTGGAGCACGTGCACAGCTTCACGCCCTGGATCCAGGCCCAGGGGGGCTGGGTGAGCCACTGAAGCCTCTCTCTCTGGGCCTCGCTTTACCCAACTGTCATGAGATAGAGGAGGGGTGGGGGCTTCTTAGGTTTCCTCTCAAGTCAGGTATTCGCCCAGCTCCACTGTGTTCGTTCTGTGTTGAGCCCTCGCTGTACGCCAGGTCTGCAGTGATGAGTGCGGATGCTATGCCTGGCGTCAACCACTGGGTACGCTAACGCTGTGAATGTGAAACCTCTCCTCAGGGAGAGGCTGGGTTAGGTGGCTCGTGCCTGTGATCCTGGCAATTTCAGAGGCCGAGGCGGGAGAATCATTGGAGGCCAGGAGTTCAAGACCAGCTTGTAAGACCCCATCTGTACAAAAATTGAAAATAATTAGCCAGGGCCAGCTGCTGTAATCACAGTACTTTGGGAGGCTGAGGCAGGTGGATTACCTGAGGTCAGGAGTTTCAGACCAGCCTGGCCAACGTGGTGAAACCCAGTGTCTCCTCAAACCGTACATAAATTAGCCGGGCTTGGTGGTGGTTGCCTGTAATCCCAGCTACTTAGGAGGCTGAGGCGGGAGAATCACTTGAACCTGGGAGGCAGAGGTTGCAGTGAGCTGAGATTGCACCATTGCACTCCAGCGTGGGCAACAGAGCAAGACTCTGTCTCAAAAAAATAATATAATAGGCGGGGCATGGTGGCTCATGCCTGTAATCCCAGCACTTTGGGAGGCTGAGGCAGACAGATCATGAGGTCAGGAGCTCGAGACCAGACTGGCCAACATAGTGAAGTGTCTCTACTAAAACCCGTCTCTACTAAAAAAAAAAAAAAAAAATTAGCTGGATGTGGTGGCGGACCCCTGTAATCCCAGCTACTCAGGAGGCAGAGGTTGCAGTGAGCTGAGACTGCGCCACTGCACTCCAGCCCTGGCGACAGTGTGAGACTCTGTCTGAAAAAAACAAACAAAAAATAATATAATAATAAAAGCTGGGTGCAGTGGTTCATGCCTGTAATCCCAGCATTTTGGGAGGCTGAGACAGATGGATCACTTGAGGTCGGGAGTTCGAGACCAGCCTGACCATGGTGAAACCCCGTCTCTACTAAAAATACAAAATTAGTCGGGCTTGGTGGCGGGTGCCTGTAATCCCAGCTACTTGGGAGGCTGAGGCAGGAGAACTGCTTGAACCTGGACGGCAGAGGTTGCAGTGAGCCAAGATCGCGCCACTGCCCTCCAGCCTGGAGACAGAGCAAGACTCAGTCTCAAAAAATAAATAAATAAATAACGTAGGGAGAGTAGTAGTGCTGCCTCACAGGGTTGCTCTGAGGGTTGAAATGGGGTCATCCTGGCCGGGCGCGGTGGCTCACGCCTGTAATCCCAGCACTTTGGGAGGCCGAGGCGGGTGGATCACGAGGTCAAGAGATCAAGACCATCCTGGTCAACAAGGTGAAACCCCGTCTCTACTAAAAATACAAAAAATTAGCTGGGCATGGTGGCGCGTGCCTGTAATCCCAGCTACTCAGGAGGCTGAGGCAGGAGAATTGCCTGAACCCAGGAGGCGGAGGTTGCGGTGAGCCGAGATCATGCCATTGCACCCCAGCCTGGGTAACAAGAGCGAAACTCCGTCTCAAAAAAAAAAAAAAAAAAAAAAAAAAAATGGGGTCATCCTGGTAAGTCCTCTGTGCACTGGCTGGCATGCTGCGGGCATTTGTTGGTGTGATTACATGGCTACCCACTGCCTTTCCAACAGTGCCTGCCAGGATGCCCCCTGCCCTGGAACCCCCCGCCTCCTCCCTCTGCTCCTTCTGCTGGGTTCTGGTTTCACTCCCAGCGAGGCCTTCCCAGGTCCCCACTGACAATCACAGCCACCTCCACACCTTCCACTGCCCTCCTTCCCCCTTCCTGCTTTACTTTTCCTTCCATAGCACTCTGTGCCTTCTAACAGATGGTGGAATTGACTTGTTTTACTTATCTTCTTGTTCATTTTTATTTTATTTTTTTTCGAGACAGAGTCTCACTCTATTGCCCAGGCTGGAGTGCCGTGGCACAGTCTTGGCTCACTGCAACCTCCACCTCCTGGGTTCAAGCAATTCTCTGCCTCAGCCTCCCGAGTAGCTGGAATTACAGGTGCCCACCACCACACCTGGCTAATTTTTGTATTTTTAGTAGAGACGGAGTTTCACCATCTTGGCCAGGCTAGTCTTGAACTCCTGACCTTGTGATTCACCCACCTTGGCCTCCCAAAGTGCCGGGATTGCAGGTGTGAGCCACTGTGCCGGGCCGTTCATTTTTCTTTGTTGGAGCGTCTCCCACCTGTAACACAAAAGCTTCAGAAGACCCAGAGGTCTCCCCCCCTCCTTTTTTTTTCACTTGACTTGATCTCCAATGCCTGTTTCAGAGATGGGCTGGGCTCCAGTGTGCAGGCCCTGTGGCTTGGTGACTGTCACAATCTCCCTGAGTGACACTCTCCCGGCTGGTCCAGTGGGCACCGTCTCATTTACCTGCCTGGGGATCGCTGTGGGTATTCACGGAGAGAGGGACACAGGCCAGGTTCTCCGTGGAACCGGTTTCCCTGGCAGGAGCTGGCCAAGTGTGTTTGGGGAACAGGGAGGAGGAGGCCAGTAGGGCTGGAGCAGGGTGAGCAGGCGAGAGATGGCAGCAGGAGAGACACCGGGCCAGCCAGGACCCTGTGGTCACCTTGAGAACTTGGACTTTGACTGGGTAAGCCAAGGTCTCCGAGCAGCAGAGGGACAGAAGCTGATTTAGGTGCTAACGGGCGCCCTCTTGCGGCCGCTTGGGGACAGACTGCGGGCGGGTGGGGAGGGTGGGAGTAGGGGAGCAGGGAGGAGGTGAGCGGATGAGACCCAAGTTTGGGGCAGTATAGAATGCTGGGTTTAATTTAGCGCTGGTGCTGACAGATTTGGCTAATGGGCCAGATGTGGGGACAGACTAAAAGATGATGACCCGAACAGCTGCAAAGCGACATCTGAGTTCCCTGAGATGGGGAAGGCACGGGGATGGAGGCGGTGGGGGTGGGGAGCAGGACTGGACGTGGTCCAGTCCAGAGTAAGAGCAGAATTCAGAGCACATGTTTAGGGGACTGGATATAAGTGTTGGGCTCAGCAAAGAAGCTCATTTATTTTATGGTATTTTTGAGACAGTCTTACTCTGTCGCCCAGGCTGGAGTGCAGTGGTGTGATCTCAGCTCACTGCAACCTCCGCCTCCCGGGTTCAAGCGATTCTCCTGCCTCAGCCTCCCAAGTAGCTGGGATTACAGGCGCATACCACCATGTCTGGCTAATTTTGTGATTTTAGCAGAGATGGGGTTTTGCCATGTTGGCCAGGCTAGTCTAGAACCCTTGGCCTCAAGTGATCCACCCACCTCAGCCTCCCAAAGTGCTGGAATTACAGGCGTGAGCCACCGCGCCCAGCCAATATCTAAAAAAAAAAAAATTAATAGGCTTGGTAGCAGGTGAGCTTTCTCGTTGGATCAGATTCTCTGCCAGGGATTTCAATAGAATGATCCCATTTAAACCCACTACAACCTCATGGGGCTCTTATTATCCTCTTGTGGGGGCACAGAAGGAAAGTCCCCATCGTGCAGAGTGTTGGAATCCGGATTTTTTTTTTTTTTTTTTTTTTTTTTTTTGAGACAGTCTTGCTTTGAGCCAAGGCATGCGATCTTGGCTCAAAGCAACCTCTGCCTCCCAGGTTCAAGTGATTCTCCTGCCTCAGCCTCCCAAATAGCCTGTAAAGCTGGCATTACGGGCACGCACCACCACGCCAGCTAATTTTTGTATTTTTAGCAGAGACAGCGTTTCACCATGTTGGCCAGGCTGGTCTCGAACTCCTGACCTCATGAGCCACCTCCCTCAGCCTCCCAAAGTGCTGGGATTACAGGTGTGAGCCACCACGCCCAGCCCGGAATCTGGATTTATACATGAAGCTCTGAATTGTTCAAATCTGAGGACTCTCTTCCCCTTTTCTGATGCTGTCCCCCAACTCTTCACTCTCTTGGTTTCTGTCTAAACCCACTCCAGTGCCCTGACCCTCCTTGTGCTCAGCCTTTCCTCCTCTCACTAGGACTCTGTCCCCCTTATTTCTGTACCTTTCTCTCTGGGCCTCCGTCCTCTCTGGGTGTCTGCTGCTCTCCACTCTCTGGCTCTTCGCCTTCCCGACTCTAATCTTTTTTTTTTTTTTTTTTTTTTTTT